TGACCTACCCTGCAATCAGCCCCCCCGGGACCCCGACACCAGGCGTTCGGTGCGTTAGTACAACCATCCTCACCGTTTCCCTGGCCAGAGCCACGTCACAGCACGGAGACCTTGTGCGTTGCTCGGACAGAAGAGAAAGCGAATCCCAGCACGCCGGCTAGAGCGTGGCCAGGAATAGGGATGCAGGGGCTTTTGGGAAGGCTGGCTTTTGCATGCAAGAAGCGAAGGTCAGATACAAGAAGTGCTATGACAGGGATATGGATACACGCCAAGTGCTTCCCCAGAAAACGCGTTTATCCCTTGCACAGATCGAGGATGGCTATTAACCACCTGATGCGCACCTGAGAGTTGGCTTTCTGGATCTGCCTTGCAGTTAAGAACGTCTTCATAAGCGATGCTAAATCGAAATAAAGCTCTTATCTGGTTTTAAAGAGCAAAATATGGAAAAGTGAGGGGAAAAAGGGCAGATTAAGGCAGAATCCCTTCTTCTAGAAAGTTGCTGAAGTCGATAAAGCCCACAGCAAGATAAGGAGTCCAGCAAGGTAAAGAAAAGCTGACCGAAGAGCGGGCTGTACGGTGTTAGCCAGAACAGTGGTCAGAAATAAACTTCAGGGGAGAGCGAGCCAAAGGTGACGGCGTCCAGGGCAAACCAAGAGCTTCAGCCGATGGGAACAAGGAGATAAAGCAGCTCCAGGAGCCATTCCTTCCTCCTAAGCCTGAAAGTTAATACTGACATTGTGCTTGGGTGTTTCAAAACACTGAGACGGGGCTGTAGCATGCTGAAATTTCTCCTTCCCCATCAATCTTTGTCATTAACTGAAACTATTTGTTTCAAAACCCAACCTCCAGCTGACGTCGGGGATCTGGTAAACGGATCGGCTGCTACGCACGCACGTGCTCTTTTGTTTCCCATCCTAACGATCTTAACTATCCAACTGTATTCCAGTTTGACTTTCAGCTCGTTTTTTCCTTTGGACCAGCTATTATTTTCAGCTATACGGAATATACTGAGTGGAAAAGTCGGGAAGCTAGGCTTGTACGATGGGAATTGATAAAGGAACAGGACCAGGCAATACACAGCCCTTGTCCTGTTGGCGAGGAACCGTAAGGGTGTTCTTGTACTTTCCCAGAGAAACCCAGGGATCCAGAGAGCTGACACGCTAGAGCTTCCACATTCCCAACCCTCACTCCTACAAGAGGAGATGGAGGACAGAGCCAGGGAATAGGCAAGACACGCTCTCTGAAGGCAAGAAGCGTCGCACTGGGCTGGCTGTGTCTCAGTAGCGCCTCCAGCCTGTCTTTTCCGGATTTGTACCCTCCTCAAGAAGCCTCTTCCGTTCCGGAATTCAGGCAATTCTGACTTAAGGCTGCCCACTCCAAGACAAATTCAGCAGCGTTGACCCCCTTCAGCTGTGAAGATGTGAAACACAGCGTGTGGGTGGGAGAGGGGAGGAGTGCATCTGTAGCTGAAATACGATTTGCATGTATTTTACGCAAATAGGGAAGAAAAGTTACCAAAAAAATGAATTTTAAACATCATTTGTCAACTCCAGCCTACGTCCTTTTCGCGACACGAGAACCCGCTTTCTTACCATCGCCACCGAAGCCTGGGACGCGTGGAAGCTCCCTCCCAACCCATACAAACTCCCTAACCAAACCAGAGAGGGGTCAGCTTGCAGTGCCAGGAGGCACCCCAGCCAGCGTCAACTGCCAAACACAAGTACGGCAGCGCAGTTTGAACTGTGAGATCATACATTGTACCACGGAATGGGTTGGGTTGGGAGGGACCTTAGAGACCACTCAGTCCCACCCCTTGCCACAGGCAGGGACACCTTCCACTAGACCAGGGTGCTCCAAGCCTCACCCAGCAGAAGGATATCAACTCGTTG